TGTATCTATGTACGTTTTGCATGTTAGGGGATATTAGGACTTACACATAATCATACATCTAGTCTTCATGTAGATACCTTATTAAAAAGTTATCACATTAGAATTCACCTCTTAAACACCTCTTAAAATCAACAGAGGATGACCTCACACGTTAGAAATCATTATCCATCTCACTCATGGGGAGAATTGCTACCATAGAAATGATGGTACTGCCCAAAATGAATTGCTTCTTTTCAATGATCCCCATAAAACCACATGCTACTTGGTCTAAGTCACGAGACTCATGCATCTCCAATTTTTTGTGGGAAGACAAACCTGCACGTATCGGTTTGAAAACTCTTCACAAGACCAAAGACAGGGGTGGGTTAGATCCACCAATTTCTTTTTCACTATTTCTTAGCCAACAGGCTATGGTACATAACAAAATGGCTTAAACTCAGTCCCCAGGATAAGCCATGGCAAGATGTTGAACAAGGACTTTGCAGAAACCTCAAAATTTCTGATCTGCCATTTATTAGTCCAAACATAAAACATCGCAGATTTAATGTAAGCACTTCTCTGACAGCCTGGTTGGAATTTCTCAAAATTACAAAGTCCTCAATTCTCCCATGTAAGCTTACACCCATCTAAAACAATCCTGACCTCCTTCAAAATAAAAAGAAATGCTTAACTATATTCAATGGAAGAACAATGGAATAAAACATTTAGGTAATATAATTCAAGATGGAATCTTCATCCCATTTTATGAGTTATTATCTCAATATGGGCTTAGCAGCAGTTCATTTCTAGAATACCATCCACTCAAATTCATAATAACTAAAATGTATGTTGTTGGACTTGCAACTCCCAACTGGGGTAGCCGAATACTTAAACATCTGCACCCCAAAATGAATATCCAAAATGTATAATATACTGTCAAAGACAGATGACACAATCTCTTTGCCATCATTAAAGTGGGAAGCAGATCTATCATTCACTACTGACAGTCATTTTTGGCCACAAATCTGTCCAAACATCTTCAGTACGACTACAAATCCCAATTTGCAGCTCATACAATACAAAAATATTCATAGAACGCACTGTACGGGACAAAGGATGTTGCGGATGGATCTTGCACCTTCTAATATCTGTACACATTGCACAGACAACACATCGGATGATCACGCACACGCTCTGTGGTTCTGTGCACATGTTCATGAGTTCTGGCTGGAGGTCTGTAAGGAACTATCAGTATGGCTAAAGTGTAGTGTTCATTCATGCCCCAAACTGTGTGTACTGGGTGATTTAAATGGTGTCAACATAGATAGGAAGTCAGCACAAATGGTCCTCACGGTGTTGTGCATCGCAAGGAAAACTATTCTCATGATCTGGAAAATGAAAAATAATATTGGTATTAATCTATTTAGGAATTCTCTTTTAGATCACATCAGCATGGAAATAATGTCTGCCTACTCTACACATCAATGATGAATTTCATTCTCTCTGGTCCCCGCTTATTGGCCTCATCACCTAGTGGGGGCGGCAGGCTGCTGTCCTCCGGCTTTGGGCGGTCAGATGGGGGCCTTGGGGGGGATCTGAGAACTTGGGATCTTGGTGGTTTCTTGGGTTGCAGTGCTGTCGCTCATGGCTCCTGGGGGGCCTCTGCCCTATGCCCGTGGGGGGCTCTGTTGGGGTGCTCCCTCATTGGCCCTCTGGGTGGCCCGGTTGTCTCCGTGGTGGTCTCCCTGGTCTTGAGCCTCTGTGCAGTTGCCTTACAAAATTCGAAATATATCCTTTTTGTCATTACTACCAGTGTCATGGCCGCCTTTGGTTTTTGCTGCTTGTTTGTGTGTATCTCTTCCTTGTGTATGCTTGCAGATGCTCCTACAGGTTCTCCCTCGGGTTTGCCCACAGTATTTTTTGCTGTTTGTTGTTGTTAGTTTGTGTGTGTCTCCTCGTAGTTTTTGTTTGCAGCTGCTTCAACGGGTTCTCCCTCGGGGTTTGCCCACGGTGACAACAAGACATTTTTCTACAGATACAGCAGCTGAATGTGTGGTTTTGTTGTTGGAAGAGGCCTAGTAGCAGGGTTTGCTACAGAGATGGACATACAACCGCAAATCAGAAACACGATTGATGTCAAGGGGCTGCTCTGTGGTGTAGTGGTGAGCATCGTCACTTATCAAATAATCTTCTGGTTTGGTCAAAGTTGCCATGTCATCCATTTTTTAATAATAAAAAATTGGAATGACATTAACTAATTCAGTTTCTTCTGTGATTTGATCCACTGACCCAAAAAAGGTTCTCATGTGTACTGTTATCTTCTTACTTCTCACAAACATGGCTGCTCTGGCCAGCACACCTCTCCAATGATGTTTTTTTCCCTCCTCCACACAGTTTTGAAATGAATTCATATTTCAAAACCATAATGAAACACTGACTTTAACCACTGAACAATTTTCAAAGTAAGGCACTTCAAAGGATCCGTGGTTGTGACGTGACTTTAATTAAACTTAAACGTCAAGTGGAAAGCTACTCTGCCCAAATTCCACTTTCAGAATACATTGTCTGTTAAAAGTGATGAATCATTATTGACTGGTCTGACATACTTTTGCTTCTCCGGTCAGGTTTCATCATTTGTCAAACACTGAAATAACCTTTTACCTGGCAAACCTTAGGTGGTGATTTTTGTGATGAAACTGAATTGTGTATTGGCCTTAAACACGCCACAACTTTGGAAACTTTTATATAGTTTAAGAAATAAAAACTCCTGATAACACAGGCATGATTTTAGCCAAAGTTATGTTTAGATTTTGAAAGATTTTACAAGAATAACAGCAGCACATTTCATCCGCAAAGATATGATAAACTGCTCAGACCCTGTTTGTGTGCACCGTTTCTCGGTGACTGAGCTCAAGCTTGAACGAAAAGAGGAAACGCATCAAGATGCCTCCAAGCAATGAATAAACATGCACAAAAATATTGGAGGATTTAAGACTGTAGGAAAAACTATGAATGCACCACTTTGTGATGGACACAAATTGGATCTTTTTCTTTAAGACAAGTAGGAAAATGGAAAAACAATATAACACATATACACACAGAAATGTTCCGGGTTTAATACTGGTCTTTTATTCAATAACATTTTGTCTATACAAATTATTCCTCCAAGGGGTTGCAGGGATTGGGGGGACAGGGGGGAGTTTAACCCAGCTGATACCGGGTGGCAAGCGGGACACACGTTAAAAAAGTTGCCGGTCACAAGGCCTCGTGGAGGTTATACCCAACTGAAAATAATCCAACATCATTTTACAGACTCATGCTGATATTCAGAATTGACCTGTGAATACACACTTTCTTCGGTTCTCAGCTCTTTTTTCTTCTTTCCTCTTGTAGATTTCCCTCCAGAGAAATGCAGTGCAGCGTAATTAAGATCTTGTCCCCCTTCAGCCTGTGATGAGAATTATTTAAAATTTTTACTGTTACATCCAGCCGTAAGTAAGTATTTCAGTGTGACATCAGGTTAGGTACTATGATAGCATGACTTACTGAATTATCTGCTGTTTGGCTTGAGTTGATATGTCCTCCTTGTAATGAAGTGCTCTCTTTCCCTTAAGATACAAAATCGGAATGTTGTTCATTATTTTTGTTTTCTTTTTTCAGAAACGAATAATAGCTAAATTATTGTATTATTAATGGAAGGCAAAAAAAAGGAGAAACAAGAACTTATCAGAACTCAAAATATGTCGATCAAGTTATTGACAGTAAATTTCCATTTAAATGTCTATTATTCTATTCCATTACTTTATTGTAAGTATACATTTAATTGTGAAGTTCAGCCACTTACCTTTGACTTTACCACGTATTGTTCTTTGTATTTTATGAAAGATGAAGAAAATATTTACAATCGCGGAAATGCCAAAGCTGATGCTTAGGATCACCAGCAATTTGAATTCAAAACTTTTAGACTCTATAAAACAAAGATAGAATATGCATATCACTGCTTAGAAAAACATTTCAGGTGTGTTGCCACTGGGAAATGATTGTGGAAAAATATGTCCAGTGTCCTGGATAAAGTCCTACCAGGTTCCACTTTGGTTCCATCTCCGAATAATATTTCTCCACATGTGGCCACAGCACAGTAGTAAGTCCCAACTTCAGAGGAGCTGATGCTCTTAGAGAAGTGATGCACACATCTCCTCTGAGTGTCAGCTTTCTGGTTACATTTATCAGCTCTGTTTCCATCAGAGTAGATGATGTGTGGATGAGATTCATCTGATGCAGCTCTGAACCAGAACACACTGAGATCTCCTGAACACGTCTGGTTCTCAGAGTGAGAGAGGACTGAACACTGCAGAGTCACCGAGTCTCCTGAACCAGCTGGATCTGAAACCGCTGACTGCCTGACTACGGAGTAGTTTGACATTTTCTGACTGTTTCCTGCATAAATAGTCATAGAGATTAAGATATTAAAGTTATAGGTATGCAAAGAAAATAAAAAAGTCATAGGTATCCAAAGAAAATAAAATGATTTGTTAAATGAAATCATCAATAAAACATTTGCTACCTGTCTATTACGAATATTCATGGAGAGTATTGCCCTCAGCTACATCACATTGAAATAATATATATTTCTATGTATATTCATATATATATATGTGCATATATATATATATATATATATATATATATATAATCTGTTCACAAGAATCATAAAAACAACAGAAAAAATGTTGATGTAATCATATGCATTTAAAGTATTCCTACACTGATACCTAGACACAAAGGGAACACTAGAATACAACAAAATGCCCTACAATAGTCAATTTCTGGGAAAAAGTAATGCATTACCAAATCAAATGAATCAATATTGGATTCTATCATTGCATACATTAAATAATTACCTTTTATTGACAAATAAGTCCCCCTCCAGGTAACAGCGGAATATTCAATGATGGCACAGTGATACATTCCCTCATCTTCTCTGCTCGTCCCCATAATGGTCAGTGTGCTGATCTTTCCATTGAATGTTGCTGTTAGCTTTGTGTCAGAAAACCTTGGACCAAACTTTGGTTTTTGATTTTTCCACAGCATCACAATAGATTCAAGGGCATCCCCTGCACTCTGCCTGGACCACTGAATTTTATCAGTGCTCCTCGTTTCATCAGGCAGAGTACATGTCAAAGTCACAGGTTCCCCAAGTTGAACTGTGACCACTGGAACCAGTGAATCTGTGTGCCATAGAGAGAAGTCTCAACTTAGAATCGAAAATGACACATAAAAAAGAGAGAATGGCGCATCACAGATCATTTCGATATTTCAATAAGAGAATATAGAAAATCTTTTTTTGTGTGTGTGACACTTACATACTCGATGAAGAAGAAGCAGTGTGACCCATAACAGAATCATCTTGACACTGTCTTCATTGGAAGACCAGCTTCTTAAGAAACAAAGGGAGGTGTGGTTAGGAAAAGCATCACGTTCATTTGATTGGTTATCTCAGAATGTACAAAGTGCATTTCCTGTCCAAGAGATCTTTCACTTTAGGTTAAACTTTTTTAATCTTTTCCATGTATCAGCGTCTATCATCTGTTAAATCTTTTTAAGCTGTTCGATTTAGCTGTATCTTAAATAACAGAAGAAATATGTATACATATATACCTGTTTTTTGTCTATTAATTTATGTCCTTACATTTTTTACATGTTAAGGGATATTAAGACTTTGGCGTATTAGTCACACATCTAGTCTACATGTAGATACCTAAATGAAGTATCACATTAGATTGCAGGTTAAAGATATTACATTTTGAACACTTGTTGACACTAATGGAACAGATGTGGTGAGCCAGACAGCCATAGGTATGTGAATGCTCCCAACATAATAAATGCTAAAGAATATTGTGTTCTATTACAAAGTTTATTGTCTACAACAATTTTCATAAAGTTGCATAGTTTTGAGATTGGGTTAGACCAGCGTCTGAACTGACAGAGGGAAGCGTGATTGTCTAGAAGTTTAGAAGGAACTGGATTTGTCATTTCATAACATGAAATCAGTGCGTTTCCTGCCACATTGACGTTTTGGCCTACTTATGGTGTGTCCTCTCTACTTTTTTAAGCTTTTACCTTTACCTTTATGTCTATGTGAATGTGTGTGTGTGTGTGTGTGTGTGTGTGTACATGCCTATATTTGTATTTCCGTATCTGTATTTCAAAAATTTAATTATGAAAAGTAGTCTTTAATGTAAAAAAAATGGTTATGACAGGCATGCTACAAATTGAACTCAGTTTGAGTTTTTACCCATCTGCGTTATCTGCGTTAGTTACAAAAACATGTGGAGTTTAATGGTGTGAGTGTCAAAAGCATCTCACTGGTCATCACACCATAATTTATTAAAATGCATCACTGTTTTTTATTCTGCTCAGTACAAAGTATTTTGCCTATATTTCATATTATGTAATGAAATTTGCTTAATAAAATCCCATAAAACTTAAGAATGATTAAAGAAATATTCATATTTTAAACATAATGTAGTGTTCAGATAATCCAAAATAAGGATTGATGTACCAAGAAAAGAGCAGAAATCAAATGGAGTGAAAGTGAAGTGAAGTGTAAGAACCTTGATAAAAGAAAGGCCCAAAGTCTACATGCAAGCGTTTTCTTGGTAAACTGGAGCAGATTGAGTTTACTATGCACAATGTCTGAAAGGAAACTGACAGCACCTGCAGAGGTCTGAAAATGAAGAAAAGAGACGAAGGAAACCGAAACCATTGGGGAAAGCATCCACCGATCGACCGGACCAACGGTGTCCGTGAACGACTCCTCTGGCCCCCTCTACAACTGCCATCTACAACCTTCAAACAACAGCTTCAGGAAGCTGCATCCATAATAAAGGTCCTGATCATGGTCTATTCAGATCCCATGTCCCCCCAGGAGTCTGGTTTCAGAACCCACCATGTCTGTGGAGTTCAGACAACTGTCTTTAGTTTGGACCACTCCAACAAAAGAAAAACACAAAAAACATATCAGACATGTTCCCTTTCTCCACACACTGAAATTAAACATGTTCATCGTGTTTCTTAATAGACTTTTTGCTATTGCGTTAATTTTGGTACAGAAATCTGTATTCCCCATATAAATGTATGTGTTAACAAAAGGTTGATCAACACGTAATATTATTGTATCGTTTTCACAATGAAGAAAAACCAATTACTAATTTCTTCACCTCATCCACACACGTGTTGTTGCATAAAGAATCAAAGGGGACAGCAGGACGTGTAGAAGTAAATAATGTGGGTAGTGAGGTATAAAGCTATAGGCTCAGAAACTCATTGAGCTCAGCTGGAACTCTGAGTTCAAGCTGCACCACACACACTGATGTGTATGTGTTCCAGTACAGATTTTAGCTTCTGTCTAAAAATCTTGAACAGGAGTAACCACAGCCTTTTTTATCTTCACAGATCTGTAAAACCGACAAGAAGCTGTTTGCACAGTCGTTTTTTTTCAGAAGTTAATGTTTTTACCAAGAGAGGCGGCACCATCATGCCCCCCTTCCATGGGCCAGTGACAAGTAAACAATCAGACCGTATTAGAGACCTTTATTCAGTAAAAAAACATTTTTCAACACAGTCAGACTTAAACAAAACCTGTATGTTCTCATCTTCTACATATGGAAACATGCAGAGCTGTTCTGAAGAAATAAAAACGACAATATATACATTGAAACATAATCTCATCTAAATTAGTATGAAAAACAGAAGACAGACCTAAATGCCTTTTTTACGGCACACTGTCACACCTGCAACATTTTTTTTCTAACAATCGTTTCTCATTTCTTTCAATAAATCACTCTCCCTGTTTCAGAATACACCATCTTACATGGACAGGCATTGAAAATCAGATGTTAATGTTGGAATACACGCTTTCCTCTGTCCCCAGCTCTCTCTTCTTCTTATTTCCTCTTGTGGTTTTCCCTCCAGCGAAATGCAAAGCAGCGTAGTTCAGAGCATGTCCCCCTTCAGCCTGTGCAGAGAATTTGTGTTCATCATAACATCTGGACGTTACTATTTTAGTGCAATAGCAAATTAGGTCATTTGGCATAATTACTTACAAAATCATCATCTGCTTGGATTAAGTCATTACGTTGTGCTTGTGAGTGAGAGAGATCTTCTCTCCCTAAAAATACAACAAAATAATATTTAAAAATGGATTTGGGCTTTTTTTAACAGCATAAAAAGGTACCTTTCAGAATCAATTAAAGTAGTGAAAACAATCATATATTAATTTTATAGAAATATTAATCATCTCTGTGTCAAATTAACACAGAGACTGAAACCGTGTTCATTTTTCTGTAACTGTGTGTTGCACATTCACTCATCTCCGTCATTTTATTCCAGATGATTAAAGAATGCTTTGTCCAGTCTTTTAGTACAATTTCATTTCAGTGAAAAATACTTACTGTTGAATCTTGAATTTGCTCCTCTTTGTGCTTTATGAAAGATGAGAAAAATATTTATGGTGACGGAAATGCCGAAGCACACCGTTATGACCAGCAGCGCTTTGAATTCAAAATGGGATCCTTCTGGAAAATGACGAGAACAAATTACTGCATCTGAAAACCTACCAGCCGTGTCATTGTTGAAGGAATGTTTAAAAGGTTTCCAGAATAAATAAAAAAAACAACCTTTCTCCACTTTGGTTCCATCTCC